GGCCTCACACACACTCTGCTGCCTCTGATTACTCACATGCAAAACCCCAGGCTTCCCAGAGAAAGATCTAACACTCCTCGGACTGTGAAGCTCTAGTAATATGAGCCTAAGTCTTTGTATTCATAAATGCATGGCCTTAAAGTATTGGCTTTATCTAACTTGACCAAGGTCACGCAGATTGCCAGTCTTCCCACACCAGTGTGCCTGCTTGTCTCCCTATTCAGGGTCTCTGTAAAAGTCCTTTATGTACTTTATGGGACTTCTTCCCCCAACATTGTCTGCTAAACAGTGTGTTAAGAGCAGGTGCATTTTGGGGGGGAAAGGGTTCATAGTTTTCATGACATTCTTTACATATATATATTTATTTATATTTATACATATTTATATTTTTAATTTACTTCAGAGAGGGAGAGAGAGAAACATCAATGATGAAAGAGAATCATTGACCGGCTGCCTCCTGCACGCCCCCTACCGGACATGTGCTCTTAACCCGAATTGAACCCAGATCCTTCAGGCCGAGGGCCGCCGCTCTATCCACTGAGCCACACTGGCTAGGGCTTTCATTATAATCTTAAAGGTGCTTATGATCAAAAAGTTTACTTCTATCTTTTATCTCATGTATCTATTTTCTTAAACTTTTATTTTCAAAGCTGTTTTTAGCTGAGTAGAAGGAAGAAAAATGAAGGAAGAAATGATGGGGGGCGGGGGTTGTTGAGCCAGAATATTAAAGCAGACGCCAACTTTTCATTCCCATTGCCATTCATTCACTCATTCATTCAGCAGGTTTTTGTTGAGCGCCTGCTCGGTTCCAGGCGCCATTCCAGAGTCTCGGGATGCAGCGGTGGGGCCACCGCTTGGCGTCGGGGTTTACAGTCTATCAAGGGAGACAGACAAAATAATAATGCCGACGGCGACTGTGTCAGGCGCCATGAAAAAGTGACGTAGGGTCCAAGAGAGGTGGTTTGTGTTGCCCACGAACTCCAACGATGCCAGGGTGCCCTCCACAGACCTAGCTTTTGCGCTGAGCTTCCCCGGTGTGGACGGCGGGAGGCGCAGGACGCACGGGCCCTTCCGCCCTCGGCTCCCGGCTTCTCACTAGGACGCGGTCGACCCCGAGGAGAGTGCGCATGCTCCTCGGTTAAAGGCACCGCCCAATAGGAACTTCCTCTGAGGTGGGGTCCCGCCTCCACAGCGCGTCCTTCTGCTTCCGCTTCCGGCGTTGGGAGGTCTCGGTAAAAAGATGGCGACTGCGTCTGCGTCTCGGGTTGCTGGGCTGCTGGGCCGGTTGCGGCCCCAGCTGGCGCGGCCCATGTCGAGCGGCGCCCACGGCGAGGAGGGCTCAGGTACGGGGGCGGCGGGGCGGGGCGGGGCTGGCCCGGCGGCGGCGGCGAGGCGGGCGGCCTGTGACCTTGGCGTGCGGCCTTGGGGTCGGGGGGAGGGGGAGGCCGGCCGGGCCGCCGCGGGCTCAGCCGTGCGCCCCCGCAGCTCGCCTGTGGAAGTCCCTCACCTACTTCGTGGCGCTGCCCGGGGTGGCCGTGAGCATGCTGAACGTCTTCCTCAAGTCGCGCCACGGGGAGCACGAGCGGCCCGAGTTCGTCGCCTACCCGCACCTCCGCATCAGGACCAAGGTACGCCCTGCGTTCGTGGAGGGTCCGTCCTCCTTCCGTTCCGAACGCCCCCGTCCAAGGTCTTGCTTTTCTAAAAGCGCGGCGTCCATTCCAGGCGCCTACCGTTCCTCATGAAATAACCACCAGTGGTGGTTTCCTTGGGTTTTACGGAAGGGAACCTGAGGAGGGAGGGGGTCGGGGTGACGAGGGGGGATCGCTTCTCAGGTTCTTCTTCCGAGCACTGCAGGAAGTAGCTGCCGGTTTTCCTCTTCCGATCCATCCGCCTCTGCCTTCCGCCCGCTCGGAAACAGTTGTCGTTTGTGTAGAACGAGTCGTGGGGGACCTGCTTAGCCTGGCGCAGTCGGAACGGGCTCCGCTTTCTGAAAGCTGGGCGCCGGCGGGCCCTGTCCGCTCTCCTTTAGGCTGCGTGTCTTCTCGGCTGGGCTGTGCTTTGGCTGTGGATGTAGCTGTCATCATCGCTTGCTCTCCGTTGTTTGCTGTATTCTTTTTTTTTTTTTTTTTAACACATTTTTATTGGTTTTAGAGAGAAAGGGAGAGAGAGAGAAACATCCATGATGAGAGAGAATCATGGATGGGCACTGGGGATCGAGTCCACAACCCAGGCATGCACCTTGACCGGAATCGAACCCGGGACCTTTCAGTTTGCAGGCCCACGCTCCATCCACTGAGCCAAACCGGCTAGGGGCAATTTACTGTATTCTTAGCAAGAGCCCCTCTGGTTCTTTCATAACTGTTACATCACTTAGTCCAGGTGGGACTGGCCTCATGGAGATTAAGCTAGATTCTTAGGTTCAGAAAGAATTTGTTTTGTTTTCTTTTTTGAGTCTTTGAGCCCCACTCCACCCTCGTACAGTAGAGTTAGAAGTCATACAGCAAGGTTTCTCAGCCTCCGACCCGTTGACATTTAGAACTGGGTCATCCTTGTGGGGAGCCGGCTGTCCTCAGTTGTAGGCTATTTAGCAGCATCCTTGACCTCTACCCACTAGATGCCAGTAGTACCCCATCCTGCCTCAGATGTCTCCAGATACTGATTGCCTAGTGTCCCTGGAATGGCAAAATCATCCTGGGTTGGAAACCACGATCCAAGAGCAATGCTTTTGAAAGGTACCATGGGAGTATCTTCTTCCCACACCCACCTCTGCCATTCCCATACAGGTGATCTGAGGGTTACACTTTCATAAACACCACACGGATATACCTACCAGGAAGAGGTTTATGAATAACAGACTTAAGCTTGCTTTTCCTGTTACCTATTTTATGCCAGTTTTATGTATTATCTGTCACTTACCCTATTTTAAGCAGTTTATGGCAGTGCGGTTTCTGAATTTTCTGGAATGTCCTAATTGACATCTTCACTCCACAGCCCTTCCCCTGGGGAGATGGTAACCATACTCTATTCCATAATCGTCATCTGAACCCGCTGCCAACCGGCTATGAAGATGAATAAACAGAACCTGGACCACTACCCAGTGGGGACCACAGCACTGGTTTGGACCATACTCTGCACACGGACCAGAAAAGTGTATGGGACCTTAAGCTGACTTCTTTCCTAATGTAAAATGATGACTATAGAGTACACTGATCTTCCGTCTCTTTGCTTATGGCAGGAGATGGCTTAAATAAATAACAGGTTGGTCATGAGCTGAGCGTTGCATTCTTTGGTGGTGGTTTTCCCTCGGAAATTAGCATTAATGTTATTTCTGTTGCTGCAGTGAGGCCTCTGAATAGGGTTTATAACAGGCCTGTCTTTGGTTTCTTGTGCCTAGGGTATCCTATTTAATAAAAAGCTAATATGCAAATTGTCCCCTTGACCGCAAGTTCAACCAGGGGGCCGGGCCAGCTGGCCAACCACCCGAGGTCCCTTCCATGGTTGGTCTGGCCCAATCTGCCCAGATAGGGGTGGGCCGGCCAGACCCCACCCATGCACGAATTCATGCACCTGGCCTCTACTGTAGCATAAAGCAAAAGGAATGGTGCTAAGTATCAAGATTGGGTCCCGCGTGGCCAGCAGAATGGCTGCAGTTTCATTTGAAAAGGTTTCTGTGATTCTCAAGAGGAAGTGCTTCCTGTATCTCAGCATTTTCCTATCCCTTTCTGTCAGCATTTGCTGCAGGACACTAACTGGCCTGATTATTTCCTCTGGAGGCATCAGGTTCTCACCTTGGGGTCATCTCTCAGCACCCTGAAGGTTGTTAGGGTCAAAAACCTTTGGAAAAATAAAGGCAGCTTCTTTGAAGTAGCTGAGATAGTTGAAGGGTGAAGTCAAAATAACATGAGGAACAACAACAAAAAGTATTTTCTCAATAGCAATTACAATAAAAGAACATGGTTGGTCTGGAGCTCAGTTTATTCTCAAGGCTCAACCAGACAGTTTTGTGGTAAGATTCAGGAAGTTTCACCGTTTTTGGTGTTAACACATAGTCATATAGTCAACTGGTATTGCACAAAGGTGAGGCACATAGAAACATGGGGTGTGGAAACCATTGACAGTTAAGAAAAAAGAATCCGTGTTATCTTTGCCATTTTGTGACCTAGCCACACCCTGTGCTTCCCCATAGAACTGTTTGTGCTTGTGGCGAGTGGGAGTTCAGGACATGGACTTATATTCAGCTTGCTGTCTGGCCCCCTCAGCTGGGTTCCAAATATCTCTTGTAATCCTTGTAGAATGGACATGAAACCATCAAAATATAAATGCAGGATGTTTTGAAATGACCGTAAGGACTGGTCGCATTAAATAGGAAGTAGTGTGCTCGCTTCGGCAGCGCATGTACTAAAATTGGAACGATACAGAAAAGATTAGCATGGTCCTTGCGCAAGGATGACACGAAAATTCGTGAAACATTCCATATTAAAATATAATAAAAAAAGGGGGGGGAGGGGAAGGACACATATGTAATACTTTTAGCAAAATAAAAAAATATATATATATAATAAAAAATCAATATGAAGTAGTAATTGGTAAATTGGAGAGACCAGAATTTAGGCCACCTTTCAATCAAGTTTCAGACTATTGAATCAAATTACTCAAGATAAGCAGTTTTGGGAACTACATGACATTCTAGGGCAGCGGTCGCCCACTGGTGGTCTGCAGACCACTGCTGGTCCGTGAGTGTTCACCTTATCCCGACTTAGTGCCATTATGTAAACATTTAAAAATATTTTTGTAGCCTACTGTGGAAGCACATTTTTAAAGTCGGTGAGGTTTCCAATTGCTATGCCATACTACCTAAGTCAGATAAATTTTCACTTTTCCCTCACCTTTATATTATAAAACATAAAGCCCCCCCCACCCCCCGTGTATATATGGGATATGTGTGATAACAGGGTGAATAGCTGTTCTATAAAGTGCAGAGTTCAAGGGGCAAATAATGATAGAAACGAAATGTTACAATTTATTCCATCTTCATGATTACAGATATTACAGGGCAGGGTGGGTAAACAACGAAAATAAAGCAAATGCCTTTCTCCCCTAACCAGATACAGTATTTTGGCATTTTCATGATACACAGGTTGACTTAATTCATTGACTTAGCTTGAAAGCTGGCCACAGCAGCAAATCTTTGCAATCAATTTAGGATTTTCCTCCATAGCATACTCCAGGGATCTTAATGGCTGAACTACACTATGAACACTGAAATGGTGTTCATGCTAACGTTCTTGAAGCTTTAACATCTTAATCTGAGATCTGACACCTCTTGTTAAGGCCGGGAACTGTTAAAAGCTTCCTCTTGGCTAACCCAGTCCACCATTGAGCAATCTGAACAGTTAAGTTACTATATAAAAAAATAAAACTGCTCCCAAGCATTGATTGAAACAGTCATGCTGGGATCCCTTTTCCGAGGATTAGCTCCCTGAGAGAAAAGAGGTCCTAACCAGTTGCTTCTGTGAACAATGACCCCAGTACAGTATATCTAATGTCCTTTGAGGCATAACTCTAGGGGTCAGGCAACCATGATTATCCTGACAAGTTTATCAGTCTTTAGATACAAGATCCCAGATGAAGTATTGCAACCATAATCCCAAGAAATTCAGTTTTAGCACAGCGAGTTCCTGCAAGATGTCAGAGCAAGTGAGAAATCATCCCAAAGTAAAAAGTGATGGTTCAAAGTGAGAGGAAAACATCTAGGAGGAAAATAAGTCCTCATTGAATTGATGGCTATCTTCACAGCCTTAATTGACAAAATCCAGACGGCTCAAATTTCCAGATCTGAGGAGTCTATTTTCAAGGTGACTGACAAGGTCAAGAAGAGCTTTCAGGCTTGTCTCTGCCATGGCCCATGAACTCCAGTCCTTCAATGGGAATCTCCTTCTCCTTTATTGCTTTCTGATGGGAGAAGAAAACATTATAAAGGTCAATATGAAGCTTACTGGCGTTGAGCAAGCCTCACTTTTCCTGTCTGCAATTGGGATAAAGACAGCAACTGCAGGGAGGGAGGGAGAGAAAACAGGTCAATAAAGTGTTTATAACAACAAAAAATAAAGCCCTCCATCAGGCCAATAAAGGGTTTATAACAAAAAATAAAGCCCTCCATAATGTCTTAACAGGCCAGAGAGAGGCTAACACCCAGCCTCACCCCCAAACAATAAGAGTGGAAAAGTGCACTGCCCCCCCCACCCCCACCCCCCCACACACAAAAGGCAACGATTCTAGTGAACTCGGCCTCAGCCCTTCCTTTTCCTGGGCGTGCGTGCTCCAGTTTTCAGGTAGAACTACGCCCACTTGCAAGTTCACGACGAGCCCCGAGTGAAGCACAGAATGTGACTGCTCCGTAGGAAGCAAGCATTTAACTGTCACGGGAGAGCTCCCGGCAGCCGCGGTGGTGGCGCCGACGGCCTGCCCCGGCCTCAATGACAAGGCTCTTCTCCACCCCCGGTCCCACGCCCGCGAGACCGAGGCGAGGGCCGGGGACCCGCAGGGAGGGCGGGGCGAGGCCCGCTCACCTGGACGCACTGCTGGTAGCGCTTGAAGAGGTCGGTGCACGGGTCCCCGGAGCTGTCGCCCTTGAGGAACTTCTCGGCGAACCAGCGATTGAAGCACTGGTCGTACTCGCGCTTCATGTCGGTGCAGCCCTCCCCGACGCTGTTCATGGCGGCGGCGGCGGCGCGCTCTGACGTCGTCATTCCTCGGCGTCGCCAGCGGGCGCGGGACGGAGTCCGGGAGGAGGCGGCATGTGGGCGCGGGCGGGGCGGCGGGTCCTCTGGGCCCCGGGGGGCGGGTGCCGGGGCTTCGCTTCCCAGGCCGGGTCTCCGGGGAAGGCCGGAGGCGGGGGTGTCTCCGCGTGTCGGGGGGCGGGGCCGGCGGCGCCGGAAACGGGGCGCATCGCCCGCTAGGTGGTCGAGCACCTGGAGCGGCTGGCGCTGGTGGACTTCGGCGGCCCCGAGGCCGTGGCGCGGCTGGAGAGAGCCGTGGCCGTCGCCGACCGGCTCCGCGCCGTGGACACGGACGGGGTGCAGCCCCTGGAGTCGGTCCTGGAGGACAGGTGAGCCCGGCTGCGCCCCAAGCCTGGCCTGTGGGCCTGCGCAGGCATTGGGGTGGCGATTAGGGTCTCGGGGCCCCGAGGGAGGAAGAGCCTTGGGCGAGAGGCAGGAACTCGCCCCGGTCACCGCTGAGAGTGTGACCAGCGGGTCCTTCCTCGCGTTTAAATTCCTCCCGGTGTCACCGGGAACGAAACCCGACCTGCTGATGGCCTCGGAGGTTCTCCTTCAAGAGCTTCCCCTGCACGCGGACACACTCCTGACCAGTCCAATCGCGTGGGCACCGTGCGTTTCTCCAACGCGCCAAATCAGTCCCTTCGCTAGGATCTGTGCACTCGTTATTCCATTTTTCTTGAACAATCTGTCTCTTTGGCAGGTCTGTTTATCTCCTCTGAAGGGCCTGCCCTGACCAGTCCAAATCCCCTCGCCACTTCCTTATCTTAATTGGGTTTTCTTCAGATAAATTTCTTGACTGTCTTATTTTTGTTGATTGTTATGTCTCTTATTAAAATAAGTTAATATCTGACTTGCTTGCTAAGTTGGATTCATGTCTCAAATTTTTATTTTTTCAAAAATTTAAATGTACGTATTGTCTGACCTAGTGGTTATGGAACTATCTGTGAAAGTGCACCAAACTGTGTGTACAAGTATCCAGGGTATGCAAATCTGTTCACAGTAAGGAAGAAACAAAGAAAACCCCCTAGAGCAGTGGTTCTCAACCTTACTAATGCTGCGACCCTTTCATACAGTTCCTCATGTTGTGGTGACCCCCAACCATAAAATTATTTTCGTTGCTACTTCATAACTGTAATTTTGCTACTGTTATGAGTTGTAATGTAAATATCTGATATGCAGGATGTATGTTCATTGTTACAAATTGAACATAATTAAAGCATAGTGATTAATCACAAAAGCAATATGTAATTATATATGTTTTTCCGATGGTCTTAGGCAACCCCTGTGAAAGGGTCGTTCGACCCCCAAAGGGGTCTCGACCCACAGGTTGAGAACCGCTGCTCTAGAAACAGATATAATCTAAGTGTCCTTTGTGGCTAAATACATCATCATACAATGGACTGTTCAGCAGTTGTTAAAAATGAAACAGCCCTAGCCGGTTTGGCTCAGTGCATAGAGGGTCGGCCTGTGGACTGAAGGGTCCTGGGTTCTATTGGGTTCCATTCCTGTCAAGGGCATATTGCTGGGGTTTTGGGTTCGATCCCCAGTAGGGGGCATGCAGGAGGCAGCCGATCAATGATTCTCTCTCACCATTGATGTTTCTATCTCTCCCTCTCCCTTCCTCTCTGAAATCAATAAAAATATATAAAATAATAATGAAACAGCCCTGCCCTAACCAGTTTGGCTCAGTGGATAGAGCGTTGGCCTGTGGACTGAAAGGTCCCAGGTTCGATTCCGGTCAAGGGCATGTACCTTGGTTGCGGGCACATCTCCAGTAGGAGGTGTGCAGGAGGCAGCTGATCGATGTTTCTAACTCTCTATCCCTCTCCCTTCCTCTCTGTAAAAAATCAATAAAATATATTTAAATAAATAAATAAATAAATAAAAAATAATGAAACAGCCCTGACCTGTTTGGCTCAGTGGCTAGAGTGTCAGCCTGCGGACTCAAGGGTCCCAGATTCAATTCCAGTCAAGGGCATGTACCTCGGTTGTGTGCACATCCCTAGTAGGGGGTGTGCAGGAGGCAGCGGATTGATGTTTCTCTCTCATTGATGTTTCTCTCTCATCGATGTTTCTAACTCTCTCTCCCTCTCTGTAAAAAATCAATAAAATATATATTTTTTAAAATAATGAAACAAATACCTTTCTATGCTGATATGGAAAGGGCTCTAAGATATATTTGATAAAAAGCTAAATTCAGAACGTTGTGTATGATATCATCAGTGCTTTTACATATTCTGGTGATGCACTGTTACCTTTTGCTCCCTGAAAAGGTATGTAGAAAACTGTTAATGGTTAGTTTTAAAGAAATTGGGAATGCAGAGGAAAGTTTTAACTTTTCACTTTATACCAAGGGCCAAAAACATACTTGCCTAAGGGGCAGAGTAATAAGTTGTGAAGAGTAGTGTAATGCAATGGGTATGGGTGGGTTTTTGACAGACTAGCTTGTAAATACTAAAAAGACACAGCTTCTACCCACCACTAACAATCATTGCCAAATCTTTTTTTTTAATATATATATATATATATATAAAATATATTTTATTGATTTTTTACAGAGAGGAAGGGAGAGAGATAGAGAGTTAGAAACATCGATGAGAGAGAAACATCAATCAGCTGCCTCCTGCACATCACCTACTGGGGATGTGCCCGCAACCCCGGTACATGCCCTTGACCGGAATCGAACCTGGGACCTTTCAGTCCGCAGGCCGACGCTCTATCCACTGAGCCAAACCGGTTTCGGCTTTAATATATTTCTTTATTGGTTTCAGAGAGGAAGGGAGAAGGAGAGATAGAAACATCAATGATGAGAGAGATCATTGATCGGCTGCCTCCTGCACGCACCCCACTGGAGATTGAGCCCGCAACCCAGGCATGTGCCCTTGGCCGGAATCGAACCTGGGACCCTTCAGTCCGCAGGCTGACACTCTATCCACTGAGCCAAGCAGGCTAGGGCTCATTGCCAAATCTTAATACATTTTTTAAAAGAAAATGCTTTCTTGAAAAGCAGACTTGTTTGCTGGTTTGGCATTGCAGTTTCTTAGTGTGGGTATGTAACTCATAAAAATAAGGGCAATCTCCAACTCTGTCCTAGCCTTTTCCTGATAGAATTTTAAAAAATAATAAACTAGTACAGGTGGGAACAAGAAAGATGAGTGCCATTAGTCAGCACCGATAGGGACAGCCAGACCATCTGTAACAATACCCTTTGTGTAAACTGCTTGTTAGCCTCCTGTTCTGAACTCCAGTTGATTCCTTCAAATCCTTTCTCTATTTTGTATTTTGGTGCTCAGGTAGAGAGTTTAACTAATTTGTCCAAAGTTAGTTATCACATACAACCCCTGAAAGGAAATACTAGTATCTCTTTTATAGATGAAGAAACTAACGCTCGGACAGGCTATGTAACATGTCCCAAAGTTTCCCGGGGAGTGAGAGATGCCAGGGTTTGGAACTCAGAGCCTTACTGCTTTAGATGTGCCATAGAAACTTTATTCTCTTTCATCTCAAAGCCAGAGGCTGACTCAGATGACGTCTCTGACTGCAGCCAAATACTTCAATGCTTAGGATGGCCCTCAGGAATCTTACTTGAACCAAAAACTCTGAGCCAAAATGATTTTCATTCTGGTCTGCATCAAACTAGAAATAAATGAGGAGGGAGGGAGAATGCTTGTAGATAGAAGTAGGGTGGTGCCTAGAGAAATGACTCCTGGCAGCCAGCTTGATACCAGGGAAGGGCAGAAACTGAAACAGCAGAACTGTCCTAGTGTCAGTCTGAGGGCTGGCAGAGCCTCTTCCTCCGCGCTGCTGTACTGATCTCCATTCAGCACTTTTTATGTGCATTTCCCAGTTTAATACCTGTCTGTGAGCTTTGGAGGGCAGGGATTTCTAGTTGACAGTTGAAGCCTTTCTCAAGCAGGTTCTTCATCTGAACCAGAACACAGATCCAAGTGACTCTTCAATCCTTCCAAGGATAGGTTACTATATAACTAATATTAGCCCAGATACAGAGCTGATCATCAAAATGGGTGTCCTACGGCTTCTGGGCTAAACGTTCTTGTAGAACTTGGACTGAGAAAGCTGAGGTGAGGTAGGCATTTAGTCAGTGAGTGATTCACAGGCACCTGAAGAGCTTATCAATTCCTGTTCGGTGTCTTACACATGATTCCGAGGTCA